ACTGGAGTGGGTTGCCATTTCCTTCTCCAGGGCATCTTCCAGACCCAGGGATTGAACCCAGGTCTCCAGCACTGCAGGCACATAATTTACTGTCTGAGCCACCTGGTAGGCCTTAATACCAAGTTGTAAATTGAATGATCAAGTTTGGGGAGTTCATGACTGCCAAGCAGGCACACAGAACAGCACCGCTTCCATCCAGACTGCTTCAGCAGTCTAGACAGAGCTGACGAAACAACACAGTGTCAGGCAGTGTCTCTGTTCTTGGGTATTTCCCTTCATTTCTTCAAGTGAATCATAAAACAATCACAGGATTGGCAGGAGAAACCTAAGAAGTATATTCAAGTTAAACATGTTTTCATTAGTTCTGCTTCTGTGATTGGAATTTGCTTGATTTCATTATCAATAAAAAGGTTGCCACTCATATCTGAGAAATCTGATAATTAAGTTAGAATCCACATAGTGCCTTCAGCCAGCGCATGCTCATTCATGTCCAACTCTGAGATGCCGTGGACTGTAGCCCACCAGGCTCCTCTGTCCTTGGAATTTTTCAGGCAAAAATACTGGAGTGGTTTGCCATTTCCTACTCCAGGGAATCACTTAGAAAGCAGTGTGTCTCTTTGTAAAAGCATGAGGAGAAAAATACTTGTATAGTATCTTTTTATTTACTTTACCATTGCTTTAATGCACTTTAAAATTTATCTACATTAATTGGGAACAAAGAAACAAAAATAGACATTTCTTTGTTTTTCATAAATAACTACTCTCCATATTTGATAAAAATCTCAAACCATTATTTTAGCTTCCCACAAATATAATACATACAGATTTTTTTATCTGAAATAGTGTCAGCAAATTAAGTACCTTGAAACTAACATAACCACATACAACTGCTGTTCTACTGACTTCCAGGAACAAAACAAAAAACTTTTTATCAAGATGCTCTGAGTTTCCTTTTGTTAGTGTTAAGAGATTCAATATTATAATCATCTGCCAGTAATAATTTATAGATTTGAGTTGATTGTCTACAAATAAAATACCACTGGCATTGCTTTGTGAGTTCTGGATTTGACATGACATCGACGATACCTCATGGGACAGGCAATACACATATGTGGAAATCAGAAAAAGTAGTGAATGCCCTGGGCTCGAACTACTGACTCGGTATGTGCCTCATCTGGCTCAGTAATAAATTCACCTGCACCAAACCCGTATCAAAAGTCACTAAATCTCCCATATATATAAATTATTTATATACACCCACAACACATACATACTATACATACAGTTTTTAACAACATGAAGTAATATTGTCTTCAAATGATGTACCACAGACATTATCCTGGCTGAAATAAATCCTGTAATTGTCATCAAGCTGCTAGAAGCTTTTGAGAGTTCTGAGTCGGGTTACTTAGTTACTTTCATCCTGCCTACCCTTCACCCTGCTTTCATGTCTTGGTAGCTTTTTCTTTCAGAACCACCCTCCTCAACCCAGGCAGATTTCTTTCCCAGGATCACTTGATTGGACTTTGGAGGCAAGAAAGGGCACGCAGAGGGAGCAGGCAATTCTCAGCCACTGTACCTCACACCTGCCTAGATTTGTGATGTTCTCTGTCCTGTTGGCCCCATTCGGTGATAGAAAGCAGTGATTCAAAGCTTTGTCCCTCCTGCCCCCCTTGGTCTTTCTGTAGAGCACAAAAGTGAAAGAAGCCTCTTTAGCAGGGGTGGCAGTTCATTAAAATATACAACTACGTTTCCTAGCTCTGGGGTTCCCATTCTGTACTTGAGACTGCAGGTCACGGATGCTGTTACCAAGGTTCGGTGTGGGATCCATGAGGTTTTCTCCTGGCAGCCGGTGTCAGGATTAGTGCAGCCCTAGCCCAGGAGGAAAGGGCCTAATGAATACCAACTTGGAAACAGCGCTGCTGGCACATTATTTAAGCCTGTACATGCGCACAGTGACACACAGCACACACATGGGCCCGTCGTTGGAAGCGACGGCAAGAAAATATGACAAAGGTTTGCAAGGATAAACCAATAAGGCACCAAGAGAACTTTCTTCCAGTCAATTTAGACAGCTTCAAAATGTGAGGTTAATAATACAGAGTAAAAAGACTTCCTAAGGCTCTTGTCAGCTGATTCACTGATAGGTCATATATTAGTTCCTTCTAAATCTTCACCCTCCTATCTATGATGAGAGACATTGCTTAAAATTGAACCACGAAAGGGAAAGCCCAAAAGCTGTATATGAGACTAAAGTGGGCCTTCAGTCCTCACTAAAATCAGAGCTAGCTGTAAAGAAGTTGCTAAACTACCTCACAACCTTTCATTTTATAATTGCTTTCATGAGTATGGATTGTCTGCCTAATGAAAATAAAAATCAGGAGAGAATTGAGTATGAGATGGAAAGGGGGGGGGTGAGCATAAATAGATGGGTTTCTCTGCCTGGGTAGGGGGAGGGGTGGTTGATGCAAGACTTCAGGAAGCAGGTGGGCTTAATCTTTGAGGGAAGGGAGAGCAGGGGTGAGAGAGAGAGACTGAAAACAGGCAACGCTAAGAACTGGGATGAACCTAAAAAACCTCCAGTGCATTACCTCTATTACTGCTTTTTGCCTTAGTATCCTTTTTCTTAACTGTCTTAAATTGTTTTTAAAGTAAATTCGTTGTTCTTTTTAGGTTTGGTATGTTGCCGAAATAAAAAAATAATTGTTTTAAAAGTAAGAATTAAATCACTTCAACCACATCCTCTCACAACTTTTAGATAAATTCTGCATCATCTTTACACTCTTCCAAAAAAAAAAAAAAAAGGAAAAGGAACAACCCAAATTAGACACTATGTCTGAAGTCAGCAGAATAATCTATGTACTTTCTGGGAAGAGGTCAAGGTGATCAGAAAAGGTCCTCATTTGAAAAACAGGAGAGGAACTGGCCCTCAGGCAGGGTATCTATTTCAAGGTTCTAAGCAGCTGCAGAATAAGCAGACGAATTAGATGTGCAGAAAGTTCTGTAGCTCGGTGTACCAGGTTTTGTCAAATATGCTGAAATTTAATTTTGATTTAGATGAGTGCAGAAGAGCAATGCATTTTTATAAACATGAACAGCCTTTGAAAGTTCATGAAAACTATTAACATCATGCTTCTTTCCACCAGCATAGTGCTTAAATCCACTGTGGAAAATACACACTTGTTTACTTAATATCCATAACGTAAAAGCTGACCTGGGCTTAAATCTTATTTTTCCAACTTTGGTATAAATGAAGTGCAAATCATTATACTTGTCATTTTCCTAGAGAGGCCTTCCCAAATTTTAATTGCATTTGCCATTTTAGCTTCTTAAATTTAGTCCCCAGTATTTTACCGGAAAATGCACTGTCACTCCCTTCCCCAACTATAGCCTCACACTCTTCTTGAATGAATGGTTAAACAGATTAGGAAAGCAAACAGCATTTTTAATAGTTAAGTGTGTGTGTGTAGTGTGTGTACGTGTGTATTCAACAATACGCAGGCTTTCATATATGAATGAGGGAATGGTTCAACAGATTAGAAAAGCAAACAGAATTCTCTAACAGTAAAGTGTGTGAGGGTGTGCTCACCAATATACAGGCTTTCTCAGAAGAGGAGGAAAAGAAAAATATATTGAGGTGGGGTGGGGAAAACGGCTTTCCTTTTGCTACACTGAGTCACGTTTCAAAAGCTTAAGCAAGTGTATTATGGGTCTCATTTGTTGTCAGAGGCTGCAGAGAGCAGTGTCTCGCTGCTTTTGAAATATCTGGCTGTAATCTAGTCCAAAGTCCAGGGACAGTCATTTTCCCTCATTGCTGCCAATGTTTGTTCACAGGTAGCCAGCCTCCCTCCCACCCCACCCCCCTTTCAAGCACCTCATTCAAGGATGGGTGTGGTTTCTAATCACAGCTCTCCAGGAGAGGAGGAATAAGAAAAGCAAAAGGACTGTTTAACATGATAAAGGAGGTGGGATGGGGGTGGAGCAGATAAGAGAAGTGTTGGAAATTTACTTAATTACAGGAGGTATATCCAGTTTAGTCCTTAAATGTAAAAAGGAGCCCCCTTTAGCTCTATCACTAAGTACTTTCAGAAGAAGGAAGTGGGTTCATTTTTACCAAAATATAACACAAGTTGTTTTTTTTTTTTAAAGTAAGATCACTGGAGTCTATTAAAAAGAACCACCCACTCCTCCAGCACAAAGCTGCCATCTTAACAGTCTGGAATTGAAGTTCAACCAATCGCCATCCCTTAGGTTAGCACTATTCCAAACATTTATTCTGGACACTTACAATGCTACCTCTAAGTCATTCAAGCAAAGCTGGCACCGTTAAGAATGAGAATGATTACAAGGACTACAGAAAAGAAACCCAAGCTTGCTAAACAAAGCTAGGACGCACACAGAAACTCTAAACACTTCCTAACCTCGTCACTTTCCGGAGGCGTAAACCCATTATGCTCCCCCTCCTCAGTATGACTTAGGGTGTCCCCAAAGTTAGGGAAAGGGCCAAGCAGCTCATCTTAAAGCATCTGGGACACTTTATGCAGTGGAAGGAGAAGTAAGCTGGAGAAGCCCACGGGAAACTTCCCGCTCACAGCAACCTAAACTTTCACTGTTCACATTATTTTCAAAGACACAAGTATAGGAAATACATTTTCCCAATTGAGACCACACAGTTCACAGAACCCTGAACCAAGTGGACCTTCATTATAATGCCAACCTCAGGATTGTAAAGCAACCCCCCCAAGCAAAGGTAAATTTTGTTGCCAAAATGCAACAAAGTTAAAAATTAAGAAAACGACATATAAATTAAAAACAGGGTTCCCCTCGAAAAGGCAGGAAGATAGAGCAGACGTCAGCTGAGCCCCTCTGAGAAGTCCTGGGACAGGTGCCCCCCTGGAAACAGCCCCTTCCCCTCCTTTCCAAGTTGCCCCAGGAGGGGGCGTCAGCACCATGAAGGTAAAACGGAAGTGACCTTGGCAAAGCTACCAAACGAAAACAACCTAGCTCCCAGTGAAGCGTCGCCACGACTCCACAGTCTTGCCGGACCAAATCCAGACGCCCGACGTGATGCCCACCACGAGGCACATAAAATACTTGAGCATGAGCACCCAGTACTCGGGCTTGGCGCGCGGCTGGCCGGAGTCCGGGCCCGGGCACGCGCACGTGAGCGCGGCCTCCCAGCTCTCGCGATAGTGCTGTTCGTACAGGTAGCAGGCCACCACAATGCTGGCGGGCACCGTGTAGAGCAGCGTGAAGATCCCGATGCGGATCATGAGCTTCTCCAGCTTGTCCGTCTTGGTGCCGCCCTGCTTGATGACGCTGCGGATGCGGAAGAGCGACACGAAGCCCGCCAGGAGGAAGAGCGTCCCCACCAGCAGGTAGAGCACCAGCGGGCCCAGCACGAAGCCGCGCAGCGAGTTCAGGTTCTGGTTCCCCACATAGCAGATGCCGGCCACCGGGTCCCCGTCCACGGAGCTCAGGGCCAGCGCGGTGATGGACTTGACGCTGGGGATGAGCCACGCGGCCAGGTGGAAGTACTGCGCGTAGCCCGCGATGGCCTCGTTGCCCCACTTCATGCCGGCCGCCAAGAACCAGGTGAGCGACAGGATGACCCACCAGATGGAGCTGGCCATGCCGAAGAAGTAGACCAGCAGGAAAACGACAGTGCAGAGCGCAGGCCCCGTTGTCTCGTAGTGGATGTGGCTGTGCTCGCGGCTGCAGGCGACGCTGGCATGGCCCACCACCAGGCGCACCAGGAAGCCCAGCGACACGCAAAGGTAGCAGGCTGACAGGAAAATGATGGGGCGCTCCGGGTAGCGGAAGCGTTCCATGTCTATGAGGAAGGTGGCCACTGTGGTGGAGGTGGAGATGAAGCACAGCACAGACCACAGGCCGATCCAGAAGGTGGCGAACGTGCGCTCGTCGGGGCTGAAGGACGGCTGGTAGCAGGGCACCGCGCAGTTGGGTACCTGGCCCGTCCGCACCTTGTTGTAAAGAGGGTGTGACTCCTTCAGAATGGGCACGAAGGGCTCGCGGCACTTGCACACCGACGGGCCCCCGGCGGCGCAGTCGCTCCCCGAGGCCGGCGACCCCGGCAGGCCGGAGAGGGTGGGCTTGACCGGGAAGGGCCTGGGGGGAGCCGTGGTGGCCTCGCTGCGGTTGTAATCCATGCACAGGACCTCGGCGTCGCGACCCAGCACCGGGAGGCGGTCGCAGCTCATGCGTTCCGGCCAGGCAAAGCCGTACTGGCGCATGAGCGGCGAGCAGCCGGCCTTGGCGCGCTCGCACACCGAGCGGCAGGGCGGCAGCGGCTTGTGGTAGTCCGGCAGGCAGATGGGCGTGTACATGGAGCACAGGAAAAAACGCAGGTCCGGAGAGCAGTGGATCTCCACCAGCGGCCAAAACTGGTGCACCTCCAGGCCCGCCTCGTCCTGCGTGTCGTGGTTGAACTGGTTGGGCATGTGCGTCAGGTTGTAGCCGATGCCGCGGCACATGGGCACTGTGATCTCCTGGCACGCCGGGGCCTTGGAGGCGGCGGCCGCCCGGCCCGCCAGCTGCGCCAGGAGCAGCAGCAGCAGCGAAGGCGGCGCGGACGGGTCAGGCCGAGCCATAGCCCCCTCCCTCCCCGCGTCTCCCGCAGCCCGCGCGGGGCCAGCTCAGGCAGGAGGAAACCGGGATCGGAGCTTCCCTCTCCGCGGACTTGTGTGGCGCCGGGGCTGGCAACCTGTTGGTTTCTTTTTCAAGAAATCCGTCCAAAGACCAACTGTTTCGGGAGGACGCTGCCTCCGCAGGGAGCGCTCAGCTCTTCGCTGGACAGGGCTGGAGAGGGACGGTTAAGCTCCGATTCTGGGGAAAGTACTCTTTAAAAAAAGAAAAAAAAGGTGGGGGAGAAGAAAAATGGCAACCACTCCCAATTAGAGGGGCGTCAACGGTACAATCCCGCAAGCGGTCTCCAAATCTCTAAGTTAACCTCTCTCCCTTCCCTCCCCTTCACCTCCTGGAACCCAACTACAGACTCCCCGTCCCTCACCCTTCCTCCCTTTTCCCTGGGCCTACCGAGGTCATAGCGCTCAGCCCCCCAGGAAAAGGGCTGAGGGATAGGGAAAAGAACGAGGGGAAGGGGAAGGCGCGGGCTCTCACCTCCGAGAATCCCGAGAGAAGCAGATAGTCCGTAGCCAGCCTGGGTCCCCCGTCTCTGGGACACTCCGCGTTTCTCAGAGACGGACTGGCATCGGGAAAGTTTGGCGAGAGGCTGGGTATCCGAGGAAGCAGCACATGGCAGCAGGTGGAGGCATCTCAGAGAGGGGGTCGCCCCCTGAACGAGGTCGCCGCACACCGGTCACTCGCCCTCTCCTCCACCGGGGTCCCCCGCATGATCCGGGCGGGGGCAGGGCGGGGACAGGCCGTGCGTTCCACCAGGGTCCGGGAGCCGGACAGAGGGGCGAGTGCGCCTGGCTGCACTTGGGCGAGAGGAAGGCGACTGGCGGATCCCGCCGCCTCACAGCACCGCGAGCAGCCAGCGCTGGCCCTGCCGGGACTGCACGGTGCGCGCCCGCCGCCGCGTCCCGCCGGCCCGCCGCTCGCCTCCTCCCCTGCAGGGGGCTCAGCTCTCCTAGCGGACTCCTGGGGGCGGTGGCGGCGCTCCCGGGACGCGCCGGGCTCGGCTCCTCCCCCGCACTCTAACACCCTTTCGCCCACCTCCGCCCGGTATTGAACTGCACGCGGCGGCGGCGGCGGTGGCCACAGCAGAGTCACGGTCGCGGGCGGACTGGCCTCTCCCGCCCCGCCCGGGTCACCTGCTTCTAATGCCCGCCGGGAGACTCCGCCCTGGCCCCGCCCCTTCGCGCTGGGGCTCGGTTGGTGGGCCGCCCCGCCACACTCTCCGTGCGTCCCCGCCCACTGCCCCGCCGGTTCGGCCTCGCCCCAGGAGCCCTCGGGTCCAGCCCGGAGCGGGTAGCCGAGGAGCGCGGGCCAATCGCCGGCCGGGAAGCTATGGGGGGCGGGGCGAATGCTAATCACGCCTTCTTGAGACCCTGAGCGGGAAACCCTGGCTAGAAGTCCCTCCAGAGTTCTCTGCTGATCCCCGCTTATGCGGTGCTCACTTTCCCGTAATGTTTTAGCTTATGAACGCTTGCTTCCAGGGCACCTACCAGATCTCTTCTCAGCAGCTAAGTATCCTTACAGTCCAGCGCTTGTTTAAAAGACTGCTCAAAGAATCACTCTTAACCGTGGCACCTGTCTCCGCTCTGCGCCGCCCTCACACCAGGTGAGCTCAGATTTAGAGAGGAACAAATGCTTACCGAGTCCCTACTGTGTCGGACAGCGCGTTAGTCATTCACATCTTAATACAGGATGTCTCAGATCTTTAAAATAATTCTATGAATCAGACACTCCTTACAGGTGAAGAAACAGTTTAGAAACTTGACCAAGGCAACCGAGCTAATGTTAATGCCCCCCAAGAAAACCACAACGTAGATAATCTTGTTCAGCACGGTATTCCGAGCGCCTGGCGCAGAGTAGGCGCTCAAATGGGAAACCCGGGATTCGAATCGAGATAGTTGGGCCGCGACACCCACAATTTTTACCACCTCTTTCCCCTCCCCCCCGCCTCATATTCTACCGGTTATCTCCCAGGCTTTAACCTTTACTTTTGCATTTCGTAACCAAATCTTACTGTTGCAACAAGAAAGTGATTTTCTTTCCGTCTTTGGAAGACTCCAAACATGTTAGTCCTTTATCAGTTTATCGGGTTAAAAATCCAGGCAGTTCCGAAGCTGCCTGCGGAGAAAAGCAACACTGGCTCCGGGCAGTGTAATGGGCAGGGGCTGTACCCCCTACCCCCACCCCGCCCGCCCCGGTCGCTCCCCCGGGCTACGCCGCTCGCCGCCGGGGATCCGGGGCACACGGCGCAGCGGGAGCCCACGGGAAGACCTGCTGGGCGCCCCCAACCACTGGGACGCACTGTGGCGCTCTCCAGATGGGTTATTGTGCTGCAAGTTTTAAATGTCCTAAAAATGCCTCTTTTCTACGTGTTCTAATTAGGCTGGAAGACTGAGGTGTTTAGCATTCTTGAAATTCATTCACACGCTTACAAAGAGGGTTTGAATTGTTTCCCTTTCCCCAACCCCTTCCTTCTACTGGGAAGAAGGCGGAAAAAAAGGCAGGAGGGCCTGAGTTCTCAAAATACTCAGGACTAGACTAAAGGACCGAGACACACCGCGGCTGTTCTCGTTCTTGTGTTCTGGATCCCACTTACATAGACTGGGAACTAAATTGCAGAACAGTCCTCTCCTCCCTGCTTATCAACAAGACTTGTAATGAAGAATATGTGTGTTAATTCCAGCCTCAAAGTTAAATATCAATCGCTTCACAAACATCAAAACTATTAATAAATATGTTTAAAATGTATATTACTTATTTCATTCCCTGTGATTGTACCTGTGCTTGTATTTTGTTTGTTTGTTTGTTTGTTTGTTTGGGGGAACTACTTGGCAGTCAGTGTCGGCAAACATCCCAGGGGTGAAAGCAGTGGGAGTTTTCAGCTATGGAATAGCAATCAAAAAGAAAGGGAAACCCTCAGTGGAAAGTATGCAGAGATTGTGAACATGCCAAGAGAGGCTGCCTCATTCTGTGGCCTTTATGCAACGTGTGTATTATTGGGGATGGACAAGTGTTGGCTAATAATAAAAATTATTTGAAGTTGGAGAATGTTAATCACTCATGCTGGAATTTAGCCAGAATACATGTGTTATTTCACTTGGTTCTGACTCAAAGGATGTTATCTCCTGGTCTGTAAACTTTTCCCTTCTCAGTCAACAGGGAAATGTTGTTTTTGCTTGGAGATCTCTAATAATAGTATTGTAATAGTAATAACAGTGGGAAAACTTTGCCAAAAGAAAGTTATTTTGCATTGTATAGCTTTTCATGTCATTTGAATTTTTGCTTTTTCACCTATATTACCTCACTTTAAAGGCAGTTTAAAATATGCTGTTTAACATGAGTTAGATGCTACATAATTCATTTCAGTTATCTCATTTAATCCTCACAACAATCTGATGGAATTGGCACCGTAATGACTTGCTTGAAATTACATGTTTAGTCCATGGAAAGGGCAGAAATCTTGATTTTTCTCCTGAGTATTAGTTATTGTTTAATAAACTGGACAACACATCTTTATTTTTAAAGATGCAATTTTTAAGCAACTAGCACATTGCCATGCCTTTTCACCTATTAATTCACTTATCTGTCTTCAATCTAACCATCCATTCATCTATCCATCCATCCAAAAGCATCAAATTTTTGAGTTGAAGACACTACTGCTATGTTAAACATGTTACTCCCAAGTGAAATTTATGAGATTCAACTTAAATTATTGTCCCAGGTGTACTTATTAATTGATGAAAATACAGAGGGTCATGCTAAACATTCCATCTAGTAAGCTAAACATTCCATCTAGTAACACTCCAAAAGTTTTGAAGTTATCAGTGTTGGATTTTGTATTCAGGAAATAGTTACTGTGTTTCTAATCTTAAGATTTTTGTTGATTATAACTGTGTAATTATTCTGGGGAGACACTTGAGAGTTTAGTGCTATAGGGATGACTGGATGATGAGCCTCTGTTACTCTTCAATATCTTGATAATCCAGTGTGGAACAGTATGCTCTCCATAGATGCCTTCCATAAATATTTGTGAAATAAATGGATGAGTGAATGGCAACTGAGAGTAACTTTTTAAACTTTAGCAAGTGGTATTGAATCCGTGAATAAAGCTTATATTATGCGCTGTCTCTGAGGTTGACCATGCCCTGTGAATGCAACACGCGTCCAGACCGTGGCTCTCCCTCTACTAGCTGTGCCACCTTGGACCAGTCACCTAACAGCACCAGATCCTCTTTCTTCATCTGTAAAGTGGAGTCACAAATAGCTACTTACCTCGTAGAGCTGTAGAGAGGAGTAAATGCATTTACATAGTAAAGGGTTAGAACCATGCCTTGCACCTTGTAATGCTATGTAATTCTATTATTAGTTTCTACTGGCTTTATTGTATTTTTCTGTTTCTCCACTCTTCTTTGGGCTTCCCAGGTGGCGCTACTGGTAAAGAACCCACCTGCCAATGCAGGAGACATAAGAGACGTGGGTTCGATCCCTGGGTCTGGAAGATCCCCTGGAGGAGGGCATGGCAACCCACTCCAGTATTCTTGCCTGGAGAATCCCATGGACAGAGGAGCCCAGCAGGCTCATAGGGCCACAAAGAATCAGATATGACTGAAGTGACTTAGCACAGTACTCTTCTTTATTTTCTTTTTTGTGTCACTTTAATAATGGGAAAAAAGTTACAGTTTTTAGATGTACAGGCATACCTCAGAGATATTATGGGTTTGGTTCCAGACTACTGCAATAAAACAAATATCACAATAAACTGAATCACACAAATTCTTTGCTTTTCCAATAGTGTCTAAACTGATGTTTATACTATTCTCCAGTCTCTTAAGTGTGCAATAGCATTATGTCTAAAAAATGCACATACCTTAATTAAAAAATATTTTATCTCTAAAAAATACTAGCCATCATCTGACAACTCACGGTTTTCACAAACCTTCAATTTGTAAGAAAAGTAATATCTGCGAAGCACAGTAAAATGAGGTAGGCTTGTACTTTATGTCCAAGCACACTCCCAGCTGTCACCAACTATCTCTAGTATTTAGATATTAGCTAGATTTTATGCCAAAGCAGGGATCATTTCACTTGCTCTGGATCAAAGTACAAAGTACATTCACCTGACATCAGCAACCAGCCCGAAAGTGTGCAAGCTTGCACAGGGCTAGCACAGAACAAATACCTATAAGCCAACATATATCCCTCACTGGGTATTTCCAGACTAGCTTTTTTCATGTCCTAGAGCATTTCTAATCACTCCTCTTCTCATGAGACACCTCTAAAGGAGAAACCAAGACACTAACCAAAGGATTAACATGATGAGTCATTTATCCAAGTTCATAATAAGAATGCCTTGTTCACATTATAAGTGGAATCATGCAACTATAATCTTTAGTCCTCTCCCCTCTGCCACTGTGGTGGAGATTATAGAAAAGTAAGAGCTTCTGTCTTCTTTCCCAGAGGCGATAGACGTACTAATCTTTTCCCCACTGAGCAGTGTCTCTCAGGTGCACATTACGAGCATGTAGGGAGCCTTAAGAAATACCGATGCTTGGGCCTTATTGAATCAGAATCTCTGGCTGAGGGACCCAGACGTTGTTTCTTGCTTTTGTTTTGTTTATTTTTGTTGTGTTCTAACTCTCAAGTGATCCTGAACTTCAGCTAGGGTTGAGAGCCACTGACACAAATGGTTTTTTTTTCCTCAGCACAGCCCCAGTCTTGTG